GTTCTGTTTAGTTGATTTGCTCATCAACTCTTTAAATAGTGACTGGCTCCAGCATCTGCTCGAATCTGTTGCAGGATATTTTGACGAACGCATAAATATGCGGTATGTGATGCCTGATCATCTCAATCCTATAATTAGTAGCCATCAATGGATTGTCTTTCAACGACGCTTAGAGATCTGGTGCAAGTAAGCACGATGAGCCTGCCACAGCATAGCCATAGCCCAACAGAGATACGAGTGACTGACAATTGTATGGCGATACCTCCGTACTTGAGTTAAATTTCATGCAAAGAAAAATTGCCCCCTCCAGCCTAACCGTCAAACCATGGAACCATGTTGTAATTGTGAAAAAAATTAATAATTGGATCTGGGTAGAAAAGTTGATGCCCAATTGTCTCGGCTTTTCTTTGTGCTCTTCTGACGCCCGAGTCTCACTGCCACCATATTTCCGGTCGTTAGTTCGTACAATGACAAAATGGAGATGTATTCTGCATCCCCAGTGTGTAGCGCCTGACTGCTTATTTTGTAGCGTCGGTTCCTTGACATCGCGAGGCAGTCTCTCCGGCCCCCTGGTGGTTTTCTTCACGTTTTGTTAAGGTCGAAAGTTGCAATGCATTTATTACAGTGCTTTCTTATGATTGCTACCATTCTTTCTAATAATGTGACTAAAACACCGTAATCTCAGGTGCCGTAAGTTGCTGAACGCTATGTTGGATTAAGAACCAATCGTCAACTTTTATAACAAACCTTAAACGCTGCTTCTTTGCAACATGCTGCTGCATAGTCACTGCATAAAAGTTGGTATTAAAGCACAACTCTTCTTGCTGAACTCACCATTTTCACTCCAGGTTTCACTCAAGTAACTTCAGCAATTAAACGTCATTCTCCATAATTCGAGTCGATTAGAGCTTCAGTAACTGCTGCTATTATTGCACTATTTATTCGATGAAATCCGAGCCCAAAGACCTTGCTATCGATATTCAGTTTCTCAACGGACAGCGTAGGGTCAGGGGGTACAAAGTTTGCTTTACACCTCAGACCTCAGAGGTACTGGGTTAAACACTAATGCGGGACGTAGTACTTCTCTTACTGGCAGCCGCTTGAGCAAGTAATTCACCTCTCGGTGCTTCGGTGCAATCAGCCCGTAAACGTGTGGCAACTCGTCTAGAGCAATAGGGACAGTATGAAGTGCTGAGGTTTACTTGCCATGGCGTTCCAGTATGACGGTCATTCTGCATCATAGGTGCTCTTAAGGCTGTCATTTGCTTTGAGGTAAGAACCACACTGACAGCCCGACGTCTAGAGCAGTTATGCCAGAACGTACGAGACATATTGCCACGCTCTCTAATGTGCCCATTGATATCCCCGTTCGTCTTAAACAACCCAACAGTCAGCTAAAATTATATGTAAACAAGACATTTTTCTCTAATATGTTGGTTGTATGTTGAAACCGAGTGGCAGCTGTTTAAGAGAGGCCTACTCGAGGCTGGCGCCGAATGCTGCGGATTTTGAAAGGGTTGGCCTGCCGCCTGGAGGTCAGCAAAGACCTTCATGGTGGACACGAGAGGTACAACTGGCAGTTAAAGAGAAAGAAGCTGCGTTCAAAAAATGGCTTGGAAACAAGGAGCCATCTACACGCGTGCAATATGTCGAGGT